ATACCCTTTGAATTGAAACAAAATGTAAATTATAATATCGGAAATAACATATATATATGGTTGTGTGCATCATTTTTTTATCTTGAGTTATAGTAGTCACAATTGTTAATAAGGTCAAGTAAATTTGACTAACATATATGAAATAGTATTATATTTGTGCCGTGTGCCTAATTATTGGGATCTACATTAATCTGGAATATAGTAAACACAATCATTGGTTAAACATATCCCGATATTTTTAACAAAAAGATATATACTGCGGACATAAAAAAATATGTTTGGAAATAATATAATACGATATGAAACTTTTTAATAACAAGACGGTCTAATTAGTACTCTAAATTACGCACCGATACAAAGATAAGTTTCCAATATACTATTTCCTCTCTATCAAATTAAATAATTTGCTAGAAGTTTTTTTTATCAAATTAGATGATTTTTTGAGTTTTTAAGACAAAATTAAATGCATTTTTATTTATTTTGACTATTTGTATTTTGTTGTTTGATTTACTATTGCTTGAATTGTATTTAATTGAATGATAAATGATGTTTTAATGTAGAAAAACTAAAAAAATTAACATTTTTTTAATCTATATGTAACATTTTTAAAAATTATTTAAAATGATATAGAGGGAGTAATATTTTGCTGATCCTTATTTATATTAATGATTGAGAGAGAGTACAAACTTAGTAAGCTCATTATCATAAATACATAAATCAAATAACTAACAAATATTGTTTCAAAAAAATATAACAAACCAATACGTGACAATACTAATTACATATAAAAATGCTATTTCAAAAAATTTTAAATAAATGGGAAATACATCATGAAAAGAAGAAAATAGTGATGTCATTTGGTTCCTTGTCTTTTATCCTTTCTTATGATCCTCTCTCTCCTGTAACACCATGCGTTGAGGAAGGATACTCTCTCTGTCTTCTTCTCCTTAATTTCTCTTTCTTACTTTTGTTTTTTTAACATCTTTTCTCTTTCTTACTTTATAGGATCTGGAGGAGGAAAATTAGACAGGGGTCTGACTTTACGGCGGTCTTCGGTTCTGACCGACGGGTCTAACCGACAGGCTACGTTGTTAAGAAAGGGACTAAATCGATAGTACGAGGTCGGTGTGTAACGATGTCATACTAAATCAATGTGGGTTCTGACCGAATAAAACCAAAAATTGAGGGAGCTACTCCACATAAACCGGGTTTTATCCTCCTCTCTTAACTTATTTATTTTATCCCGGTTTGATTCGGTTATGATTTTATGGTCTTATCCCGCCTTTTCTACCCCTGGTTTCATCTCTCCCTTCTTTCATTCTCACTCTACGGAAATCCCACTGCTCACAATCTCGAATCCACTGATAACCTAAAGATTTGATAATTGACCCTGACATTTTCATCTCTCCGTTTTCACACGATTCAATTTATAAAAAGTTTGGGTTCCATCTTCAAGTTCACATACTTCTTGCCATTTCTTCAGGATTTATCAGGACACTACAATGACCGATAAGCGAAAGCCAAGCAAGGTAGGAACTTCAAAAGGAAAGCATTCTGCGGAATTATCATCGAAGAAGCCCTTAAAAAGGAAATCCGCATAGGCAACAAGAGATGCATCCACTCAGCAAGGAAAAGACACATCTCCGGCAAAAGACTAGAAAGAGAAAAGCACCAGAACCTCAGTCCGACAGCTCTGTTGAACTTGAGGAAATACCATCAGAGATTCTGCGGGCCTGGACAGACGAGGAAAAGGAGGATTACTCAAGGCTTGCTCGAGTAAAGGTTTTTCCCTCAAATCTTGTCCACCACAGATTTATGAAAAAGTTGGGGCTTTATGAAGATCTGGAGATGGTGATGAAAAACATGGGGTTAGGGTTTTTCTTCAATTATCAAGAGTTCCATTACAAGTCTGATGTGAAGAAATTCTTTGCCAGAATGGAATTTCGCTACACCAGACCAAGGGAGAAGAAGCCCAGTCAAGGCTGGCTCACATTCAAGATTGAAGAACAGTTACATACCATGTTTGTCTCTGAAGTCTGCAAAGCCTACAATTTCAATGATGGTCCTCTGTATGATTTTCCAACCTTCCATGAAGCCGCTGATTTTTGGGCTTTAATTGGCAGTGGACCTTACAAAGATGGTGCTACTAAGGGAACTTTGATCAAGAATCATGTGCTCAGAATTGCTTAGAAGCAACTGGGCAACACAATCTTTGCGAGATACGACAACAACCAGGTTAAGGTCGATGAGTTGGCCCTCTTGTTTCAAGGAGTTAAAGGTTTCGTCAGGAAGAAGAATGGGGAGAGGTTTACCTCCGACTTTAGCGATGTCAACTTGGGGTGCGTCTTCCTTAGGGAGCTGAACAAAGTCAGGCCATGGGCCAAGAATACCCCGAATCCTGACCTTTACTACAGCACTATTCTTCATCCTATTTTCTCCGCCGCCAATGTTGATTTGAGCAGGTGCGACCATGATAGCATAATAGACTATGTTGGAGAGGATTATCTGAGCAAATGCATGATCTTGCGGAGGCTTTGTGATGAAGTTGGAGAGCATTTCGAGTATATCTTCAGATCATATCCAGACAAGTTCTTCTCCCTCCGTCTCCCAAATAAGCAACTCACCGCCTTTGATAACCCGGATAACATCCTCTTTGATCATCAGCTCCTGGAATGTCCCCCGCCAAAGTCACAGAAGAGGACCTCAGAGAAACCTCAACCTATGCCTGACCCATACTCTCTGAACATACCTGACATTCCATTTGAGCCTCGTGGCTTCAAGGAGCAGTTCCTTCACTCAGCCTATTTGATCCAACAACGCGTCAACATAAGGAATGATGTGCGTCTGAAAGTCATTGAAGAAAAGCTGGGTATCTCCCCAGCTTTTACAATGGACGAGGAATCCAACAAGGCAGCAGAGGAACTGCTGCATCTCACTTACCATCCTGACTACACGCCGGCTTCCACCTCCGGTTCCCCTCCTCAAAGCAACTAAGGTACCACCTTTCTTTGTAAATAACTCTGTTTCTTTAGTTTTAATTTATTTATGTTTTTCTCATCAGTGTGTGTTGTTGTATTCTGTATCTTCTTCTTTCTTTGC